TCGTTCCTATTCAACCCAGCCATCATACCTAGTTCTCGAGTACATGGCTCGACCTTTTTCTAATTGATTACTCTCAAAACTTATTATCCTCCTCCCAGAATCCGGTCTCCTTTCTTTCACATCAAGATATCCTATAACGTCCCGACTCCTAAATTCACTCCTAAACAAATAACTTGGCGAGACCTTGGCTCATTGACCCCTGAAAAACTAAATCATTTTCTTGAAACATTAGCGCAATCCTTATATCCCATCTTCTCCTGTTTCTCCATTGATGAAATGGTGGAATCTCTTTTCTCCAATCTTCTCCTATTCCCGAATCAACATGCACCTCTAAAGACCTCTACCTTCAGACGCCCTGTTGCTCTCTGGATTAATCCTGAAATCCGAAGGCTGATGAACAGAAGAGACGCGGATAGAAGGCGTTTTAAACCCACACGTAATCCGGATGATTGCATTTTTTTCAAATTCCATCGAAATCTAACCCAATCTTCCCTGCGACGTGCTAAGGCACAATACTTCCATATCTCATTATCACAAGCACCAGATCCCAAGTTCAGATGAAAGATCCTTAAAAATCTCTCAGTAAAATAAAAAATCTGTACCTCCTACCCTGTTTCTTCCGATCAACTAAATTCCTACTTTGCCGATCCTGTCTCAATATCTTTCTCCTCCCCACGCTGCTTCCCTACATCTTCCTTTGACCCTACACATTTTTAAATATCACACCAGAAGACCTGCTTTCCTCTGTCCTCATATCCAAAACGAATGACTATGGTCCTTATTCAATCCTAGTGAAATTAGTTAAACTATGTCTCCCTTTCACCTTTCCTGTTCTACTGCATATCTACAATTTTTTCATACAAAATTCCAGTTTCACATCAGCTTGGAAAAAAGTTATAGTTCGCCCATTGGGCAAAGTTCCGATTCGCTCCAAAGTTTCCGATTTCAGGCCCATTTCCATTTTATCCAACCTTTCAAAACCTCTCGAAAGAGGAGTCCTTTCACAGCTTAATACCTCCCTTGAGCAAAAAGCTCTCCTCAATTCCCTGAAGTCTGGTTTCTGATCCCAGTTCTCCATCCAATCACCTTTGCTGAGAATCACCTAAGACCTTCATATCTCCATAGACAAACAAAAATTATCCATCCTGATCCTCTTTGGCTATTCAAAAGCGATCATTGATTCCGTTAATCGTGAAATCCTTCTTTCCAAACTCCAAAACCTTTCCACATCAAATATCGTCCTAAAGTGGTTTCATTCCTTCTTGTATCACAGATCATAAACAGCCATTATTCCCAATAAAACTCCTTCCTCTCCCCTCTCACTAACTCGTGGTGTTCCTCAGGGATCTTCACTTTCTCCATAAACGTCAATTTATAGGCGAAATACGAATATCAGCGCGGAAATATAATTTTTACAAAAAAAAAAATTATTACTCTGGCGCCCCCAAATACGCAAGAAAGCAATTAACGACATAAGTTATATTTAAAAAAAACTAATTAATTGGCGAAATACGAATATCAGCTCGGAAATAGTCGATACATTTACATAAACTGTCATAACCTACCAGCGGCAAAACATCGCTAATATGGCAAAAAAAACACTATTTAATCCTGTCAGGTGGACCAAAATGTTTAGGTCGTAATAATATATATATATATATATATATATATATATATATATATATATATATATATATTAAAAGTGATTACGAGGTATGCGTATTTCAGAATCTGTCAGGAATGTTCTGATGAAGAAAAGTTTTCATGGACGAATTGCATGGAAAAAGACAAAACAAATAAGCAGATGGCGTTTGCGTAAGCCAATAAGCCAGAAAATTTCTAGTACACGGTGGGCCAGACCCCCTTACCGTGGAACTCGTTTCCTGGGAAGTATATAAAAATTTTAATTACCTCTAAGAATCAGTAAATATACAAAACACAGTGTTAAATTGCAAACGTTAAATAAAAAAAAAAATCAAGATATTTAGCAATGTATTTTTTAATTAAGTTTTATTATTATCATTATATCATTTTTACAATTGAGGTCTTCTTAAACGACCTACGTATAGAATAAAGTAGGTTAAATTAAAAAAAATAATAATAATTTTTTTTTAATTTTAATTTTTTTTTTTACGATTAAATTATTGCATTAATATTTGTTCGTTAATAAAACCAATATAATGTACCAAAAATGTTATTATATCACTATAACTAAGCCATTTATGTGTACTGAATGGTGTGGTAGAGGCCTGTAGGCACCCACGCCAGTACCGCTTTTCTGCCGCATAAGTACATTTTCTACGGAACTGCTTAAAATTTTTTAAAAAATAATCAGCGTTTTAGAAAGAGAAATATATTCCCCAGATGTTTTATTTCAGCACGTTTTGCGTTATTGTAGGCCGTTTAATTACAAACGACGTTTGATTTGTAACTTGAAATTTTTTTTGAAAAAAAAATTGACTTTAATGGTGTTTTTCGTAGCTTAAGCCAATTATTTTTTAATATTTCTTCATGTTTTATTATTCTATGACTATTTAGCTTTAATAAAAGACCAACTATGAGGAAATTAAGTTAAATGCTGATTCTCAGTGACCAAAAAACTAACTAAAGTCAAAGTCGTCAATCCGCCATCTTTGGATGCCATTTTGTCGCAGTGCGTTCACTTTTTTTTGTGGGAACATTGGCTTTTTTTTAATAAATTGTTACAAGGAACACAACGATATGCAATTTATAGGGATGTGGGGGAGGGGGGGGAGGTGCACGGTAAGGGGGTCTGGCCCACAGACTATAGGATTTTGTTATCTTCTTAGATGTATCCAAATTCAACCTTTTTCTACCCGATGGCAGGTGTCATATCTGGATAAAAGACAAAGAAGCACTTATTTCAAAGAATTTGCGGCCGACCTCCAAGCCTACAGGAGCAAGTGTAATGGTATGGGGGCGTATGAGTGCTTAAGGATTTGGCAATCAAGTTTTCATGGATCTTGAATAGCTCTGGACGATACCAAATTTCCTGTGACCCTCTTGGCATTATGTTTGAGTAGGTGGGTGATACTTTGTTTTAATTTTTTTGGAGGGGAGAGAGTTAACCCCATCACCTCTGAATTTTGACAATACTTTGTTTTTAGATAAAATGGCAATATGTTTGGGTAGGTTGGTAATACTTTGTTTTACTGTATTTTTTGGTGGGGGGGAGGTTAACCCCCAACCTCTCTCCGAATTTTTTGTGATACTTTGTTTTTTTTAAGGGGGGATTAACCCTTCGAATTTTTTAAAAAAGATAAAATGGCAGTATATTAGGGTAGGTGGGTGATACTCTGTTTTTTTTGGGGGGAGGAGGGTGGGGAGAGGGCGTTGTCTCGCCTGAGAGAGATGATAACAGTCACTTCGATACATTTTATTTCCTATGTTTCTGTCAAGTCTGGCAAAATTATAACAAATATTGTTTAAAACTGAAACAATGCAATAGTAAATTATTTTTTTAAGGTTGAAGTAACAAGATTATTCATTTATTTATTCCACCAGAAATATTTTACAGCGAAATACAAACTATATTACATAAATTAAAGAATCCAACAAATTTTATCGTCAGATAAATACTAAAATCCACCCATTGAAAAAACGATTTGTATTTTTTAATTAAAGTGGTGATTTACTGATTACTATTGATAAAATTATAAAACATCGCTTGCTGAGATTTAATTGCAAATATATGATATTTATTACTAACCAATTATGTATTAATTACTATTATTTTTCAAACTAATAATATGTAATATCAGAGGAACTTTGATGATGAGCATCACATCGAAATACTGATATTCCTTCTCTTTATGAACAACATTTTCTCTTCTTTTTCCAACTCAAATAAAAAATAACACTGGCAATCCTAGAGAATAACGTTTAGGACTGGGTTTCCTAGGGCAGAATGTAAACATTGTACATAAATATGAATGAGCTGAAGATGATTTATTTTATTTCCGATTAATCTTTCTTTATTTGAGAATTCGTATTTATTTTTATATTTTTTTTGTTACGTAAATATATTTAACATTATTATTTATTAAAAGCCTATTTACAACGTCCAATGTCCTGACCATTTTGTCTCAGAAATTCCCAATCCTTACCCACTCATTATAATGAATTTCTGCAGTATTCTTTATCGCACTGTTAAAGTGTGAACCATGGCTAAAGTCTAATATCCACTCCTCTTCTATTTCCTTACCTGATTACACCTTAATCAGTCAATTTATAGGGATGCGGAAGGGGGGGGGGGAGAGGAGGCACGATAGAGGTGTCTGTCCCACAGACTTGTTATGGAAGGTTATAGAAGACTCTTCATCTAGAACTGAAACTTGTTTATTAGCGTTCTATTCTACGTCATATTGTCACCTTGGTAGAAAAAAAGACAACTTAAAAATAAGTCACTTTCATTAAATTATATAATTGAATAATTTAATTACGATCTTTATTTAATTATATTATTCCTTTGTGATCAAAATTATAAAAATACAAAACTTGAAACAAAATTGCTCTAATTAAATTTATAAAATGACTAATAGTTACCTTTTAAGTAATTTTGAGTTCTTGTTACTGAAGTATGAATCAGCAAGTTAAAAATAGATAATGACGTCACTTTTTTCCGTTATGACCTCATTGTCTAATTTTTTATTTTTTTGTTCATCAGTTAATTTCTATCCATATATATGAGTTTGCAAAATTCTTAGTTTGAGATTAAAATATTTAGACTTGTAAAAACAAAAAACGACATATATCAAAATTCAGTATCATCACTTTACTACTTTAAATTAACTTACTATTATATTAAAGCAAGTTAAACATCTTAGGGTTTCATATTTTATTATTTAAATTTGAAAATAATTATAACAATTTACTATACCTTCTAAAATAATCGAATTTGTTATCAATTTTAGTTCCTTAACTAAACATCGTTTTTAGACGTATATCGATTTATGATAGTTACATTCCAGAGTAGGGTAGTGTAACGTCGAAAGTGAATTATGTTTATGTTTAATGTTTGAGTTTAAACATTTGACTGGTTAATATTAATTTTGAATATTGGTAGGAATAGAATTTATGTATCAGGCTATTAAGATATTTAAATTTATTTAGTTGTTGAGTCAGCTACTACTCATCATAGGTGGGTGTGTTGTATTAGTACAGTTAAGTACCGAACGTTGGGTTGTATTATCAATATCAGTGAAGTTTTTTGATGATTTTAGGTGTTCGATGAGACTGGTTTTACCTCAGAATGGCCTTCTTGACGTATATATTATTATCGTTTGCCTTAATGAATGAAGTGTTGTCAGTTTGTAAGTACTCAAAGATTAACTTCAATAATAAAATCCCTTTAAAATGTAACTATACTGCATTCAATTTTAGATTGTCAGTATAGGAGTTTATTTTGATGTAGTGTATATCAATTATGATGTTTTTCCTTGAGCACTTTTCTTGAACTAAATTTTGTGTACTCCCGATAAATTATTTTGGGGAAGAATTTGTTTTTGTCAGAAAGATATACTCATTAATTTTTACTGTCTCCATTTCATTGGTTCTTGTGTCCATATAGATAGCTAGATTTTTAGAATTTTATTTTGCCTCTTCTTGATAACACTTATTTGTCAAGAATTTGATAACTAGCTTGTCGTGATTCACTTATGAAGCTCATTGCTGCATATTATTCAATTTACATAATGTTATTATTCAATGTTGTTTCTCAAGGCCTCATATTTTATCATTGGTTCATTGTGTTTTTTTTTTTTTTTTTTTTTTTGTATGAATTTCTTGTCTTTTTATTACTGTCATTTTAGTAGTTCTCTTGTTTTAGTTAGTTGATTTAATCATTCTGGTTAAAAAATTTAGTCATTCATAGTGCTTTCAATGTCGTAAATCTAGTCGAAATGGTATTTGAAGTTATCACAAATCTTATTAAATTATTGATTAATAAATTTCAGTTGGTTTGTATGTAATGGAGAGATGTGATTCTGTTGGATTTTAAAACAGTATTTTTGACTTACAGTGACATTGTTGATATCATGCAATGTGAATGAACTTTTATGTAGATTTATTCCATGTTTGTGTATTAAACTTACTGTTTCTGTCTGTTTAATTATTTTTCATGGCGCTTTCTAGCAGTTATTTGTCATTTATCTTTATTTTTATTGTAAGTATTATTTTATGTGTGATTATGGTTGTATGTGGTATTTATTTTAATCCAAACACAATAGTGTTTTTCTAAATTGTCAAATACTTTTATTTTACCTTAATATTGGAAACTGAATTCATTAGTAACTAGGGAGACTCATTTGCCTCAGGTTGTGGTGCCTCCTTATTTAGGGTAGTGACTGTCCTGGAAAAATGAGGAAAGTTAGGGAACTTGCAAAACAGAAAGAAGTCTGAATTGTTTTAGTACTTAAATATTTTTTTTCAAGTACGACCACAGTCGCTTTATTTGTCAATCTTTGACTTTCAATAAGATCACTGGTCGTTATATTGAAATTAGACTAGGGTGATGAATAAAATTTAAACAAAATGGAATTAAAACAGTGATATTTTGAAAAGAAAACATATCAATACTATTTACTATTTGTAATATATACATCTGGGTCAAGATTTGACCTGTGGTACTCCTTAGAAGGGCATTTATTAATCAGAAATTTCACATTTGGTGTCATATTGTCACCATCATATTGAAATCAGGATTGTGAGCTTGTTTAACGTTGCACATTCATTACTTTAACATGATGCCGATGATATGATAATTATTATGTTATTTATAGTAATAAAGAAACTGCATTAATATTAGAATACCTCGTAGCTCACTTTATTTTATAATAGAGAAATTCAGAGCTTTATATGTCAATTATCAACTTTTACCTTTTCTTAGTTTATGAAAATAAAATAAAAGAGATAAAAATAAATTAATAATAGTTTAGTTTTCCAAAATAAAAAATCCTAACCAAGTTTATAAAATGCTTCCTCTAAAACATTATATTTGTTATGTAAAATACTGATTTCTTTTTTTTACACAGGTCATTTTTTAATCAATTTTCTTTCATGTATAATACATAAATTTAGTTTTTTATTATACATTTTTAATATTTGTGTCCTCAGACGTATTGGTCAGGGAATACTGTCATCAAATAGGGAAAAGTCAGGGATTTTACTTCAACTATCTGGTAGCCACTCTGTTATTGTTGCTGATTTTCAACAAGGCCATTATTACTTTAAAAAAATATTATTTGACATGTGAAACAGTTAAGTTTTAATTTATAGAAATATTGTCTGTAATAAAGTTTCTTTCAATTGAGCGATTATAACCTCAACCTTCTCTTCTTAGAACTATGTTCTGTTGTTTAGTACTCGTTCACTAGTGTCACATTTGGTTGATAGGTGGGTCAATATCAAACACACTATGGAGAATTATATAAGTAACTGAATGTTGCCACTATTGTGAGAGTCAGCTAATGCATATACTACCCGTTCTATCTTACACTCCCTTATTTCTCTTAATTTTTCAAAAATTATTGTAGTGTAATAGTGTACTTTTTAGGCAAATAACTCTCATGAGTTTTTAATAGGCAACATTCAAAATTCTACTTTTGTGCAGTGGACTGTATTTTAATGGATTGGTAGGTTATATTGATTGTGAAAAATAGCTTACCATCTTTATGCCAGCTTACATCTTTCGGTTACCTTGAGAGCCCTCAAGTGCCGTAGTTGGTGCTGTTTCCCTGGCTACTACTGTATGAATGTGGCCGAGAAACCAGCAGTTCTTGAGGATTAAGTGTTAGCTTTTGATCTGCCCCCACCACTCGCCGTAATGTGGGAAATTCAAACCATTTTGGCACAAACAGTACTAGTCTCAAATTTGGTTGATAGGTGGGTCGAGATCACATTGATCACACTGTTTCTGTTAGAGTTCTGAATTTAACAAGTATGTCCAAAACCTCTCTGAATATATTGTATACATCAATAAGAACAGTGTGAACCAACTTATGTATAACATTAAAATTATTTTATATCAGAATATTTAAATTAATGTTGAAGTTTATTATTACATCCTGGATATGATAATAAATAGATTTTCCTATTGTGCCAGAATCTCTCTCTCATTTCATCTCGCTGCTCCCTAAGGGGTGTTCCTGAACCTCCTAAACCCATCGCTTGTGTGGCTGTCCAGCTCTTCCCAATAACCACATCACAGCATCCTGTCATGTGACCCCTTTCCTAGCTCCTATACTGATATCAGCATTTGAACATAGTTTATTAAAGGAATGGAATATGTTTACCATGATATTAAATTCTTGACTACCTTATGCATAGCAAGGTCAAAAAGTGTTGCAGACAGGGTATCGCCTTGTTTCATTTTTGTCAGGACAGAACCCCATCATCACTATTATTTAGCATCATCTTAGTCTAATCATATTATGTTGTGAAGGGTTTAAAACTCTTGGAGTGCCTTGATGCCTTCGGGTCTTTAAACACTCTCAAACTGTTGTTGGTAGTCAATGAAAAGGTTATGGAAATCAATCTTATACTCCCAGCACTTTTCAAGTTGTATTATCTCAAAATATGGTCCATAGTGCTCTATGGCATCGATAGTACCAATGGTAATCATTTAATATTCTTTTAGCAAAATATTGTGTTCGTTTGAAGGTTATGCTCATACATTATTTATATGCCATTTTTAGAAGGCAGATCTTCTGGTAATTGCTACATAGCTAAAAAAATATATATTATTTTAAAAACAAAATATTAAAAAAAAAAACGTGTTATACTTCAACTCATGAATAAAGGATCTTCATTTTAGTATTTACAAAAGGAGCTTACAGACATGAGAACACTAGTTTCAATTAAATATTTTTTTGGTGATATCAGGACGAAAAATATAAGTCCCATGTGCAAGAGTTCTTGCCTTGGGGCTGAGAAAAAAAAGACAATTTATTGTTATTGTTTTCGTCCTTTGCTCCGCATGGATTTCCAGGTTATAATTTCCCAATTGATTTTTTTTTTTTTCACCTTGAAGTACTCTTAAAAAATTGCATTGTAGTTGATGATTATAAATTGATTTCTCAATATTCTACCTTCAATTAATAGTTCTTATGTGATCTGGGTTGTGGTTAATAGCTTAATTTAGACATTGTACACTTTAAACACAGTTAATTTGATTTCAATGGAAATTCTTATTGAAGTTTTTTCTTGTTTAGAAAAAAAAAGAAATTATATTTGACAGATAGTTACGGTCTGAGTTCAGTATTGAACCAGTCTAAACCAACTGAAGGAACAAAATTGGGTCTTATATTTTTTTTAAGAAGTATCTAAAGTTGATGTTTGTATTTTACACCTCAAATACAAACTGAAAAGTAAATAAATAGTAGTTAAGACCTATATATATATATATTTTTTTTTTTTGCACTTACATATATCTATCCACACCTGTCAATTATGATCGACAATCAGCAGATGTGCTGGCGTAGTAATGAGAAAAAAAAAAAATAAAAAAAAAAGAAAAAAAAAAAAAGGCATGAGGAATAGCAATACCCAGCGTTATCCCTTCCATGGCTTTTATTTATTAAAACATTATTTCAGCAGATCCCTCATCCATACCCTTTTTAGTCGTCTTCTGGAGTTCTCGGGCATACTAGTTGTGGCCATTTCTTTTACCAGCTGGTTGGAGTGCCTGTTTAACATGTTATGAAATCGTTTGTAGTACGTTCGTATGTGTACGTTGTATTTTCTTCACATGTGGACCCCATGTCATTCTCCTATCGAACGTAAGGCCTAAGTATTGTACTCTGTCTGTTTGTGGAATCGGTATGTTGTCTAAGTATACAAGAGGGCATGTTTCTGGTCTTAGAGTAAATGTGATATGCTGTGACTTTTGATAATTTATTTGAGTTTTCCAAAGTTTACACCAATCGAGTATAATTTTTAAGTGATGTAAGTTAAGTGATGCCTCTGTAGGATTGTCATGCCTGGTAATGATAGCAGTGTCGTCTGCGTAGGTTGCTGTAAGAGTGTGGATACTTTGAGGAATGTCATGTGTGTATGTGATGTACAGTAGTGGGGCAAAGATTGATCCCTGAGGTACGCCAACTAAAACTGATCGAATTGAGGATAGACCTTGACCATGTCGAACGGAGAAAAATCTATCTGAGAGAAAGGAATGGAGAATTAAGTAGTAAGTATGTGGAAGTATGGTCTTAAGCTTGAAGAGAAGCCCCTGATGCCATACTTTGTCAAACGCTTGGGCAACATCCAGAAATACTCCAGTTGCATATAATTTCCGCTCTAGTGCTGTAGAGATGTA